TTTTTTTTTTGTGAAAATCCATAAGATGGCAGTAAATAGCTATTAGAAGCTACAATTTCTTTCCAATTACAGATTTCCTCTCAACTCATAAATCTCAAAAGACAGTAGAGATGAGAAATGTATACAACAAGCATGGTCTCAACTCATATGTTGTAACCATTGGCAACAAACTGAATTAGTGTTATTTTTACTTCATTGCACATTTAACATAAACTTTTTTACTTACTGCTTGTCTAACCGTGCGAGGAAATCCATCAAGTATAAATCCCGATTCTCCTTGGGATTCTCCCTTCTCAAGCCTCTTTGACAACAAATTTATAATGATCTCATCCGATACCAACTTACCTTGATTCACAATGTCTGCAAGCTGCAATAAGGAGAACCAAATAAATCACTAAGTAGTCAGCAAAATAGATAGATAACAGAAGAAAATTACTACTTTTTTAACTACTCACTGGATATGTGCTTAAAAACCATCACAAGCACAACACATTACGGTGAATTAGCAAGCCTATACATTTGTTCACATTTCTTACTGTCACTAAAGAACTACGTTGAGTTTCAATAACACAGTTTTAAATGGAAGTTCACAATCAGGGGGAAACATAAACAGTAGATCCAGTGTTAGTCTGCCTACTTCTGCAAAGAAAAATCATACTTTCGCCTATATCAAATCCAGCCACCCCATCAGATCTCAATTCTACATAGTCAATGATAAACTCAGATGTTAAATCATTTAACCCCATCAACAAAATCTAATAAAACCAGACTCACAACTCATACAAGTCCCACAAACACACTCACAACAAAAATGCCAAAGTAAATAACAATTCACGCAAAGTCTCGTCAAACCCCAATCCCCAGGAGCTCAATCCCACAACCCAGAAACAGTATCGCCCAGCCGAGATAACTCACCTGCTCGGAAAGAGGTCCAGACGATGACAGCTCCTCGCGGACAAGATCGCCGGTGGCGATGTGCGGGACGCCGAGCAGACCCGAAAGCCGGCTCGCGTAGGTGCCTTTTCCGACGCCGGGGCAGCCCAGGAACACCCACTGGACGTTCCTGCCCTTGGGATCCACGCGAAGGGGAGGGGTGGGTTGCGATCTCGATTCGGCGGCCGCGGCGGCGGTGGACAGGGATCTCCTGAAGAGACAGGCGGAGCCGGCGGCGGCGGAGGAAGAGGGTCTGAGGAGGCGGGTTATGGCCGCCATAGGTGGGAGAAGGGTTCTGCAGATGTGCTGAAAGAGGAAAAGGGCTTTAGAAAGTAAACCGGTGTGTGAATTTGTAAAGCGGCTTTAAAGAACCTTTTATTTTATTTATTTATTTATTTGAGGGATGGGAATCTTTTTCGAGATTCCATCTTTTATTCGAGCATCTGTTTGACTGTTTTTAGTTTTTGTAAAATAAAAAAAAAAAAAAAAAAAAAAAAAAAAAA